GTGCCCGTTCGTGGCGACCGCACCGCCGGCAGAGCTCGAGTGGCCCTCCACGCCACCCCGAGACTGCCCGTCGATGGTGCCTCCGCCGCCGCGCGTTGCCGCCGCTGCCTCGCAGCGGCTCTGTGCCTCGGCGCCGAGCCGAGACATGCCAGGCGGCCCGCCGCCGCCCACCGAGACGAGGCCCGCCCTCTCGTCGTGCACCGCGTCGCTCGCGCCTCCGCCAAAGCGATCTCGATCACGCTTTGCGGCGACGGCGCCATCGACGCCGACTTGAGCCGCTGCCCTCGCCCAGCAGCGGGTGCTCGCCGCTGTCCACGGACGCGGCTTGTCAGGCGGCGCGGTGCCGCCGGCTGCAGCGACGGCTGTCCCGGCCGTCGCGTCCTCGAGAGAGGCGAGCGAGCCGGCAGCAGAGCCCGCATGGCCCTCACCGCCACAGCCGCTCTGCCTGCTGACCTCGCTCTCGCCGCCGCCGCCTGCAGCGGCGCCTCCGCGGCTCCGAGAGGACCCGGCCCGCGGCCGCGCCTCGCCTAGCGCCTCGGCGACGCCCTCGGCGACGCCTCCTCGCGTCGCGTGCCCGTTCGTGGCGACCGCACCGCCGGCAGAGCTTGAGTGGCCCTCCACGCCAGCCCGAGACTGCCCGGCGATGGTGCTTTCGTCGCCGCGCGTTGCCGCCGCTGCCTCGCAGCGGCTCTGTGCCTCGGCGCCGAGCCGAGACATGCCAGGCGGCCCGCCGCAGCCCACCGAGACGAGGCCCGCCCCCTCGTCGTGCACCACGTCGCTCGCGCCTCCGCCAAAGCGATCTCGATCACGCTTTGCGGCGACGGCGCCATCGACGCCGACTTGAGCCGCTGCTCTCGCCCAGCAGCGGGTGCTCGCCGCTGTCCACGGACGCGGCTCGTCAGGCGGCGCGGTGCCGCCGGCTGCAGCGACGGCTGTCCCGGCCGTCGCGTCCACGAGAGAGGCGAGCGAGCCGGCAGCAGAGCCCGCATGGCCCTCACCGCCACAGCCGCTCTGCCTGCTGACCTCGCTCTCGCCGCCGCCGCCTGCAGCGGCGCCTCCGCGGCTCCGAGAGGACCCGGCCCGCGGCCGCGCCTCGTCGAGCGCCTCGTCGACGCCCTCGGCGACGCCTCCTCGCGTCGCGTGCCCGTGCGTGGCGACCGCACCGCCGGCAGAGCTCGAGTGGCCCTCCACGCCACCCCGAGACTGCCCGGCGATGGTGCCTCCGCCGCCGCGCGTTGCCGCCGCTGCCTCGCAGCGGCTCTGTGCCTCGGCGCCGAGCCGAGACATGCCGGGCGGCCCGCCACCGCCCACCGAGACGAGGCCCGCCCCCTCGTCGTGCACCGCGTCGCTCGCGCCTCCGCCAAAGCGATCTCGATCACGCTTTGCGGCGACGGCGCCATCGACGCCGACTTGAGCCGCTGCTCTCGCCCAGCAGCGGGTGCTCGCCGCTGTCCACGGACGCGGCTTGTCAGGCGGCGCGGTGCCGCCGGCTGCAGCGACGGCTGTCCCGGCCGTCGCGTCCTCGAGAGAGGCGAGCGAGCCGGCAGCAGAGCCCGCATGGCCCTCACCGCCACAGCCGCTCTGCCTGCTGACCTCGCTCTCGCCGCCGCCGCCTGCAGCGGCGCCTCCGCGGCTCCGAGAGGACCCGGCCCGCGGCCGCGCCTCGCCTAGCGCCTCGTCGACGCCCTCGGCGACGCCTCCTCGCGTCGCGTGCCCGTGAGCGGCGACCGCACCGCCGGCAGAGCTTGAGCGGCCCTCCACGCCACCCCGAGACTGCCCGGCGATGGTGCCTCCGCCGCCGCGCGCTGCCGCCGCTGCCTCGCAGCGGCTCTGTGCCTCGGCGCCGAGCCGAGACATGCCAGGCGGCCCGCCGCCGCCCACCAAGACGAGGCCCGTCCCCTCGTCGTGCACCGCGTCGCTCGCGCCTCCGCCAAAGCGATCTCGATCACGCCTTGCGGCGACGCCGCCATCGACGCCGACTTGAGCCGCTGCCCTCGCCCAGCAGCGGGTGCTCGCCGCTGTCCACAGGCGCGGCTCGTCAGGCGGCGCGGTGCCGCCGGCTGCAGCGACGGCTGTCCCGGCCGTCGCGTCCTCGAGAGAGGCGAGCGAGCCGGCAGCAGAGCCCGCATGGCCCTCACCTGGCGACAACGGCAACTCGTGGGATCTCGGGAGTGGGATTGCGAGTGGCCTGTCTTTGCGCACGCGACACTCGTATCATGTACCTTCTGCGCTGAATTTACTGGCTGCTGGTGTAGTGGTGGCGCTGGTTGGTATCGCTGCTACTGCCACTGACCGGTGCCGCTGAGCTCAAACTGGTCGTCGCCTCCCACTGGCGTGGGCGAGAGGGTGACGAGAGCGCCGGCGGCGCCGAGCTCGGCGCTCCCTCCGTAGACCGCGTCAGTGGCGACCTCGTTCCCGACCAAGCCGACATGGACCTTGGCAAACACAGTCCACGGCCGGACTTTGATGCGCATGTCCCACCGGCGCGCGACACCGCCCGCAGGTCCAGCCTCCTGCCACTGCTGCGTCGTGACCACCACTGCGCATTCATCTCCGGCCGCCGCCATGACGAGCAACTCGAGTAGTGCGCTCGCATGTGCGGCAAGCCGCAGCATGCGCGAGCGCGACGCGATGCGCCCGCCGACCAAACACGTGAGAGCCTGATTCTTTTTTCCAGCGAGATCAATCAATCAATCATTATAACGACATTCTTACTGTGCCTCTTTTGGTACTGCGACGGACCTGTGTCGAACCTGTGTGGTAAAATAAAAAGCCCCGTCAGCAGTCCTCCTCCGGGAATGTACGTAAGAGCTACATACACAAAAAAGGAAGAATGGGAGGAACTTGTGTAAAAAGAAAGAAAGAAAACGTGTGTGGTGTTTGAGAGACTTGGTTGAATTCATACAGGAGCCAGGGGGCAGGGGGGCATTACGTTACAGAGAATGGCCGCCCGACCCGCCACGGGCATCGCTGCGCAGCTCGAGGAGCTGCAGCGCAAGTACCGAATCATGGAGTGCGACCGCAAGTCGTACGCGGAGGAGGTGGAGGCCGTGCTGCGCAAACAAAAGCTGCAAAACGAGAAGCTGCGCCGTGAGAGCCAATCTCTCAAGGCGGAGCTCTCTCTGGAGGCGCGCGCCGCGTCGGCGAGCGAAACTGCGGTGGCCTCCGTCAAGGAGACGCAGGTGCGGGACCTGATCAAGGAGGTGGGGAGGCAGATCGACGCGGAGAAGCAGCGGGGAGAGAAGCTTGACGCCCGGCTCAAGTCTCTCCGTGACCGTTCGCTGCAGGAGCGCAAGGAGATGGGTGGACACAACGCACCGGCCGAGCACACCATGTCCACGGACAAGTGCATCAAGGTGCGCGCATGTTCGCGCCGGCTGAGACGCCGCGACTCGCGGCCCGCGGCGGCAGACACCACCACTCGTGCAACCACCCCCGCGTACAGGCGCTCGAGCGCAGGTTGCACCAATCTCTGATCAAGTTCAACGAGGCGATCACCGCCAACAAGGAGCTGCGGGCGCAGATTGACGACCTACGGCGCGAGCGAGTCGTCTTTGACGGGGTGCACAGGCGGATGCAGAACGAGCTGGCCGAGCGGAAGCGGCGGATGGCCGACATAATTGAAGCGGCCAATGCCGCCTTTGAGGCGCGCGATAAGGCGCATGGCAGCGCCGCCTCGCTTCGACTCATCGCGGAGCGTGAGCAGCTTGACTTTGAAGCGCAGTGGAAGAAGATGGGGCTGCAGGCGCGCTATCGGAGCGCGCCCCAAGCCGCTGTCGTGGCCCGCCCCCCGCCCGTCCCCTGTCCATGACCGCACGGCGCCCCGGCCCTAGCGCAGATGGAAGAGGACCGCCAGCAAGCGGAGCGTCTCGCACGGAGCAGCTTCCCGGGAGAACGGCAAGGGGCCGCGCCCGGGGAGCCGGGCACTGGCGGCGAGCCCGCAGGCAGAAGAAGCTCGGCGGGGGCTGGCAAGTCTGGCGAGCGCAGCCCGCCTCGTGCTCCCCCGCCCTCTCTCGAGCCGGAAGGACTGCACGTCGGCGAGCTTCGCCCCATAGGCGTGGGTCGCATCGAGCCGTACGAGGAGGCGTTCTCGCAGATTCGCAGCGCGACCGGCAGCTCGGACATTGACGCGTTGGTGGAGGCCTTCATCGCCAAAGAGGACGCCAACTTCAAGGCGTACAACTACCTGAACGCCCTCGCGGCCGAGGTGGAGAGGAGCGAGGAGGCGGTTGCCGCGCTGCACGGCGAGGCGGAGAGCTTCCGCGGCGCCGATCGCGGCGCAAGCTCACAGCGCAGGCGGCTGGTGACGGAGCTGTCCGACCAGGCCGCCGAGGGCGAGGCCAAGGCGGAGCAGCTGTCGGAGTCGAGCCGCAAGCTCAGCGGCGCCATCAGCTCGATCTGCAAGATTGCGCACCGACTCGTGGGCAGGACCTGCAGCGACAGGGACCTCAACAAGATTGGCGGCTGCGACGAAAACTCCCTGATGCTGTTCATGGGGATGATTGAGCACGCGGCAAACGAGACGCTCGGCCCCGCCGCTCTGGACGCGAGCGCCGGCGCTCCACGCGGCGGGCCGTCTGCAAAGGCGGTGACGTCGACCATGGTGCTCGGTGCGGAGAGGCTCCACTCCGACTCGGACGAAGAGGCGGGAGTGCCACTTTCCCGCAACGAGCTGCAGCTGCGAACGATGAGAGGCATCGAGAGGCGCGAAGCGAAGCCGGCCGCGAGCAGGCGCGGAAGCGAGGCGGGCCAGCAGCGGCGGCAGCCCAAGGGGCATCGCGGATGAGGGTGGAGAGCCTTTGCTGCGCGTACGTCGGTGGTCGGTCCTCGCCGGGGCGGGGCGGGGCGGAGAGCCACCACTGCCGCCACGCAATTTTTCCTCTACTCCGCAGTTTTCTCAGACTTTTTAACCACACATTTTAGTCTTTACGACCTCCGGACCTCCGCGCAACGGAGAACGGTCCGAGCGTTTCAAGTTTATGACCGCTCTGGCCCTTCGCTCAGCCGAGCAAGTCCATCGGAGCATCGGCGGCGTCGGCCGCCATCGGCGCGAGGTACGGGTCGCCGCGGCTGCGGCTGGAGAAGAGCTCGCGCCGGATCTCGGGCGTCACCTTTGGGTGCGGCTGCGCGCGCAGCAGGTCGCGCAGCGCCTCCTTCTGCTCGGCGGTCACCTCGGTCTTGTAGTGCTGCGCAAAGGCGAGCAGGCACTGCTGCCAGAGCAGCGTGGGCACGGACGAGTCGGCCGCGAAGGAGACGAAGTAGGCGACCAGCGCGTCCACGACGCGGTACGGCAGCGCGTACTTTTTGAGCAGCAGCGTCCGCAGGAAGAGCGCGTTCGCGGGCGAGTACGGCATCTCGGACAGCTTGAGGATCGCGACGGCCGAGTGCAGCATCGGCACCGACACCTTTGCGAGCACCGACGAGACGATGAGGGCCTCGCGCAGCGCGCAGCCGCCCTCCTCTCCGAGCGGCAGCAGGATGCCCTTGAAGAAGGCGGCGGGCTTGTACAGCGCCTTCTTGACCGCGAGGTAGAGGTGGAAGTTGAGCTTGCCGTGCTCGCGCACGTCGTCCTGCACCGCCGGCAGCAGCACCGTGTTGAAGAAGCGCTGCGCCATGCGCGCGTTCATGTTGGAGGCGAAGAGCTTGGTCGCCTCGCGCGTCGCCACCGGCGACCAGAGATGCGGCTCGGTCACGTAGAGCACCTCCTCCCAGTTGGCCAGCCGCGGCACTATCTTGAAGGCCTTTGGCAGCTTGCCCGAGCGGTACGTCTTGAGCAGCAGCCCGACACCGCGGTACACCTCCAGCACCTTGTCCGGCAGCTGCGGCATCGGCGCGTCCGCCGGGCCCGCGCCGCCCCAGCCGCCGCCGCCCTCGCCGCCGCCCTCGCCGCCGCCGCCGCCCGCCGCCTCTGCAGCAGCGAGCCGCTCCATGATGATGTCGGCGAGGTTGCGAGCGCGCGGTGCGCCCCCCATGAAGAGGCTCAGCGCGCGCTCGTCCTGCTCGTCTAGCTCCAGGTCGTCCACGTCCTCGTAAAAGTCGCCCGCAATGGGCTCCTCCTCCTCCTCCGCCTCGGCGGTGTCACCCGCCTCGTCGTCGTCGTCGCTGCCGCCGCCGCGGCGGAGGCTGCCCGCGGACCTGGCTGCCCCGCTGTGCGCCGCCCGCTCCTCCGCGTCCACCTCCGCCTGCTGCTCGCGCGCCTGCGCGATGATCTTACGTGTCAGCTCCGTCGGCAGCAACTGCTCGTCCTCGGCCTCGTCCTCGTCGCTCCCCTCCGGCCCCGGCCGGCCGGCCGCCTTGCGCCGCTTCCGCGACGGCTCGCCGGTCGCCTTGCGGCCGCCGCCGCGCGCGGGGCTCTTCGCTCGACTCCTGGCCGGGCTCTTCGCTCGCATGGTCGAGGTTGGCATCGTGACCGTGAGAGAGGGTTGGACTTTTTGGGGGTGTGGTATTGTAGGTGCTGATGCGGCCGCCTTACTGCTAAAGCCATAGGCGTAGGCTTCAGGACTTGGAGGCTACAGACACCCACACATCGCGCGAAGCCGCCATCTTCCACGCAAATACACCTAACTCCACGCCAGCACCGGCCGGTGCTCGTCTAGAGCGCGGCGGCGAAGTTGGATTGCCTGGCGAGCGGCGGGCGCGGCACCCGCGCCGGTCGCCGCACCCGCACCAGCAGGCGCGTCCCCGGGCGGGCGGCCCGGGGTGGCCCCCGGCCCCCCGCGCCGAGGCCCGAGGGACCACCATCCCACCCACCCGTGTCGAGGGCTGGCCTTGGGCGGTCAGGACCATCCACCCCCTCTCCCCCCAAAAGAATTTTAGCTGCATTCCAGGTGTAGTTTATTTTTGCTTGGGGCGGCCAGCATGCTGAAATTCTGGAAAAACCTGACCGGCCCCTGCGGTGCCCCTACCTACCTACCAGCTACCTACCTACCTACCCTACTTATGGGAAACTAAAAAAGAAATCACGGTATGGGTGAAGGTGGGGTACTATACCAACTAAAGTGATGGCTGGTGGTACTCTCCTGCAATCACAGTCCTTCCTGTGACATGGCAGGCCACTATCAAGCCCTACAAGCACCAGATCACCCACTTGGGGAGGGTTGACGTCGTGATTTTGGCGAAAATTTCTTTTTTTGCTGTGAAAATTCCGGCGTGAAGAGAGGGAAAAAACCCGACGCCCAGACCTACCCTTCCTACCCCGGCATGCTGGCCGCCCCAAGCAAAAAGAATACACACCTGCGGATTCAGCCTTCTTGCGCCCCTTACGAATGATCCACATCGAGGCGTCCTCCGTCGAGGCGGCGGTCTCATCCACGCTGCCCGTTGCCGCGGTGTGGCTAGCGACAGCCCTGGCGCCCGCGATCGTGCTGATCGTGTGCCTCGGCCTCGCTCCCGCATTCGGGCCACCGCGGCGCTCCCGAAGCAGTGTTGCGTCGGCAAAGCAGCCTGATTCTGAGGTGCTCAAGGTGGTCGAAAGCGCCACCGCCGCCGCCGCCGTCGCCACCGCCGCGCCCTTTCAGCGGGCGAGCGAGGTCGCCGAGACAGCGTCCGCCGTGCAGCGCCTCCTCGAGGACGACCGCTACCTCGTCGCAGAGCCGCTGCTCCAGCGCCTTCAGGCCACGGCCGTGAGCGGCGGCGCTCCCGCCCGCGCGTCCGCCCGCGCGCTCAGCCAGCTGCCGGCGAGCCTCCCGGCCGCGACGGTGCTCCAGCGCTGCGTCGAGGCGCGCGCGGCGCTCGCCTCCATCTGTGGCGCCGCCGGCTGGCGGCTTGTCGCGTCGACCGAGCGCGAGTCTCCGGCAGTGCCGCGGAGCAGCACCTTCCTCAAGCGCGAGGCGGGGCTGATGTGGTCGAAGACGGTGGCGCAGCTGGCGGTGCCGGCGGTTGACGCGTGCGCGGTCGTGCGCGAGTCGCAACTCTTCAAGACGTGGCGCGCGGAGGCTACACACGCGCACGCACGCATACACACACGCATACACACACGCGCGCACACGCGGAGACACAAACACAGAGCGCACACGCACGCACGCACACGCACACCACACGCACGCAAAAGCCGGAAGCCACAAGAGAAGCCGACACGCACACGCACACGCACGCGCGCCGCCCCCCCCCCGCAGGTACCCGTGCTGTGTCGAGAGCGAGCGGCTCGCGGAGGTGGGACGCGCCGAGGGCCTCTTCCGGGTGGAGCAGCGGTACGCTCCAAGTACTTGCACACACGCGCCTCATCGAACCCGCGCCTCATAGAGCCCCACCTTGCCACGATGAAGGCGCGCGGCGCCCAGCCCACCGCCTTTTTTTCGCCGTCTCCTCTGTCCCTCGCAACCCCCCTCCCTCGGAGCCCTCAGCCCAGCTCTCCCTTCTAGGTACGAGTTCCCGCTGGTCCCCGTCGCGCTGCGCGAGGACATCGTGCTGCATGGCTTCCTGGTGGACGTCTCCGAGGAGGGCGACACCTCCGAGACACCTCCGAGACACCTCCGAGACACCTCCGAGACACCTCCGAGACGCCTCCGAGACACCTAAGAGACGCCTCCGAGACACCTAAGAGACGCCTCCGAGACGCCTCCGAGACTCCAAGCGCGTCCACCGCCAGCCCATGGCCCGGCCGACACGACACCCGCGACCCGTCCGCGACCCTTCCACGCCCGCCCACACCGCCGCTCCTTCCGCGACCCTTCCGCGACCCTTCCGCGACCCTTCCGCGACCCTTCCGCGACCCTTCCGCGACCCTTCCGCGACCCTTCCGCGACCCGCCCCCGCCCCCGACCCGCCCCCGACCCGCCCCCGACCCGGCACCCGCAGGAGCACGGAGGCCTCCTCGTCTGCGGCCGCTCGCCGAAGCAGTCCGAGTGGGCGGACGTCCGCTTCCCGCCAAAGCCGCCCGGCCGCTACTCGTGGCCACTTCCTTTGGCACTTCCGAGACACTTCCGAGACACTTCCGAGACACTTCCTAGGCCGCTACTCGTGGCGCACCGACGTGACCGCGCTGCAGTTCTTTGTCGAGCCGTGCGGCGGCGCGGGCTGCAAGATGACGCTGCAGCTCGGCGTGGACGACCCGGGCGACGCGTGCCCAAACTGGCTCGTCGACGCGCTGATGAAGCGAGTGATCGCCCGCCTCTTCTCGGCGCGCGGCGACGAGGGGCGGCCACGCTCGCCCACCGCCCGCGACGCGTCCGTGACGCGTCCACGACGCCCCGCAGGCGCTGGGCGACAAGGCGGCGGCCGTGGCGTCCAGCCCCGCGACGAGCCCCCACGCGGCGTGCATGGCGGCGAACCCGCAAATCTACAACGAGTGGCTGCCAACCAAGATCGCCGCCTGCGAGGCGAGCCGCCGTGCCAGCGCGCGGCTCGTCGCTGCCGCGCCGGCCGCGCCGGAGCGCCGATGGACCTCCTCCCTCCTCCGGTGCTTCGCCAGCCCGGCCGCCGGCAAGGCGTAGCATGATGCGCGCGGCGGGGTCGGAGGGGTCTCTCTGGTTGCTGGGGTCGGACTCAATATGTAGCGTGGGGACCGGGTGGGCACATGCGAGATGTGAGCGTGGTTGGGCGGTCGGCACGAGGGCCCTTGGCTCGAGGAACGAGGACGAGGTGTGTCGGTGAAACTGTGAGAATACCGTACTAAGCTCGACTAACGTACCATATACACACAAAAGCAAGTACGAAGTAGCAAGCGATGCGGAAAGACACTGACAAGTGACGCTTGCCGCGGGAGCGGGTGGGCGGGGGTCGCGCGCGGTCTGCAGGGGGGGAGCGGTGTGTCCGGTGAGGGGGTTCGAGGGGGGGGGGGGATTGCTATCTTGGCCGAAGCGGGACCACCGCACATAAAGTCCACACACTCACAACAGTCCCTCAGCACACACGCCTTGTCTGTCGTGGATCGTGCCCACGCGAAAAGGAATCGACCCGATGTGCAAAGCATACAAGAAGGGGAGAAGGAAGAGGAGAGACGCCGGTGGTGACGAAGCAGAAACTAGCGCAGACGAGAGCAGGGGGCAGACCCGGGGACTGGGGAGCCGGAGCGGACGGCATCAGACGCCCTTGCGAGGCGTGGCCGCTCACGCGGCCCGATGGGGAGGAGCGGGGCGGACTACGGGGATCGGCTTCTTACACAGCCCTTCCCTGCAGCGAGCCCTGAACGATAGCGGTCACGCCGTAGCTCGCGCATAGAAGCAGGAAGCCAGGCGGCCGCATCGCGTTCGCTGTATACGTTTTACCCAAAACCGGAACCAAAACACGAATCTCCAATCCAAGAAGGGATGAAATCCCTTATGGATATAATCGCCAAATTATCTCAGGAACATAGTGTGAATGCCCGGGAACAGCCCCTCCTGGCCCGAGTGCGGGGCGCGAGGGACAAACAAATTCAGAGGGCATGAAAGTCGTCAAGCTGCTTGATCAGGCCAGTAAAGATGGCCCGCGAGGCAGCCTTCGTGAGCAGGTCGGCGAGCATCACGACGCCGGGGAGGTGTTCGACAGAGATAACGCCACGGCTGACGAGATCGCGAAGGAATTCGGCGGCGCGCAAGATGTGCTTGGTCTTCTTGAAGGCAACGGGATCGAAGGCCATGCCGACGGCGGATTTGCTGTCGCAGTTGATGACGCTGGCGCCGTCGATGGAAAATCCAAGGTCGATCAGTAGCTCACGGATGAAAATCACCTCCTTGGCGGCTAGCATGGCGCCAAAGAACTCTGCCTCGGCACTAGACAGCGTGACAGATCGCTGCATTTTGGAGAACCAGTGGAAGAGACATCCGTAGAAGAAGAACATGCCACCGGAGCAAGAGAACTTCGTTGCCCAGTTTGAATCGACGTAGCTCTCAAGGTTGCGGTTGGGGTTTACTCACAGGTCTCCAGATTGCTGTAACGGTAGTTTTGGGACAGCGTCACGCCTTCACCTCAGTCCTCACGCCCTGCCGCCCCTCCGCGCGCCCGCGCAGCCCCTACCCCCAGGTGCCTCCAGAAGCCGTGACGTCACCTCACGCTGCCCCTCCGCGCGCCCGCCGCCCGCGTCTCACGCAGCGGACAGGTCCGCGATGTGCTCGGTTCTTGGGCTCGGCGGCGCAGTGAGACGGACTTCACAGTAACGTAATTCACAGTTCGGCCCACAAGCACCTCACACCCGGAGCTTCAGCGTCAACCCGACGCCCACGGGCAAGCAGTTCATTGTCCAGCCCCAGTCCCAGTGGGAGAGGGACAGGGAGCGGCAGCAGGCCAAGGAGGGCAGTGCCCCACCGCAGCCTGTGCCTGCTGCCACTTCCGCCGCGGCACCGCCCGCAGCACCGCCTGCCGCCGCTGCAGCTCCGGCAGCAGCACCGCAGGCACACCCGCAGCACCAACAGGTGCAGCAACCCCAGCCCAACGAGTCGCCCGAGGGGTGGACCAGGGTTGGGAAGGGCGGCATGCCGGACAGGTTCACCATGAGGAACCATGGCCGCAAGCCGCCGGGCAAGGCGGTCAAGCGCAAGCCTGACCGCCAGCCCGCACCCAAGGGAGGTGGACCTCCACCCCCCTCTCCCAAGGTGAACAAGAACAGGCTGAGCGCGCTGGGCGCTGGCCCTTCTGGCACCAGCGGGAGCCACGAGCGCGCACCGCCGCGCTCCCCCTCCCCCTCCTCGCCGCCTGCCAAATCACCGCGGCCGTCTGCGCCTGCTTCCGAGTATGACTCCGAGCTCGACCAATACTTTTCCGACGCCGAGGCGCGGGATAGGGTGGCAGGGGTTGTACACGACGCAGTGCAGCAGGCTGTGATGCAATACGGCTATGACGACGAGCTCTTCCAGGATTGGAGGGACGGCAAGATAGGTGAAAAGGACTTGCCGGAGGAGGTGATGGCTATGACTTTGGACCTTTGCGAGAGGTGGCGAGCGGAGCAAGAGCGGTGTAGGCGCGTCCACGCGGCGCAGCGGCTCTCCCGCGACCCCGGCCCCTCTCGTAGCCGCAGCCGTAGCCGCAGCCCCATCTCTTGCCGCTCTTCCGTGTCGGGTTGTGACGAGGGGTGAGGGGACACGGATTGAAGATCCCTCACACCAAGATCGTGCAGGGCGGGGACACACGTCCCTAAATCCCATCTCGTCTCAGAGTTTGACCGTTTTCTTTATTTATTTATTTACCTCACACCGGCACCCTGTCCGAGGAGGCCACCGGCCAAAAGCGCATGTCTTGAAGGTCCGATACTGGAAGCCCATATAGGCACCTTACACTCCCCCGCAGTATCGCACCTCTTGAGCGACACTACGTTTCCGCAGCTGGGGATTCTCCGGGTATCCCTCTTTGTACCCGTGCTGGCCGGATTCCTCCTCCGAACAAGTCAAGTTCGATCGGCCCCAGTCTCGAACTGGCAGCCACTATCTCACCGGAGGTACCATGTCCGAGGAGGCCACCGGCCAAAAGCGCATGTCTTGAAGGTCCGATACTGGAAGCCCATATAGGCACCTTACACACCCCCTACCCCCTACCCTCCGTCGGGCCTCGCCGCTGACCCCTTACCCCCTACCCCCCTACCCCAAAGATAGATAGATAGGAAGGCGAAACACCAACCCCGCATGGCCCCTTCGGAACTCTACCCTTCCCCCCGGACAGCTCGAATCCAGTCCTCTGTCGCTGTGGCGAAGGGATGCTCGAGCGGCTCTACGCGCCGCTTCGCCAGCGACATGTACCGTCGCCGCCTCCGCCCTCAGCTGAGGGCCCTCCGACAGCATCTGCGGCTGGGATCGCGCCGCTCTTGCCGGGTCAGACCTCTCGATTCGGATCCTCTTCGGATCCTCTTCCAGAGCCATCCACCATGTCGGAGCTTTGCGAAGCGGAGGACGACGAGGAGTCTGATCTGATCCTGCCGCCTCGCTTCGCACGGCGCATCTGGCTCGTCTCGTGGCTCGCGCTCAGCTCGGGCTCCGCCGCGATTGCCAACGGCCGGCGCGACTGCGCGGCGCTGAGCGTGCTCGTGCTGGCCACCTCGCTCAACTACTGGCGGCGGCCGACGCACGGCCCGCGCCGCACCGTCGACATGGCGGCCGCCGCCGGATCGCTCATTTACCAGGTCGCTGCGGTCGCACCATTCTCTCACTGCCCGATCGCGGCCGGAGCCTACCTCGCCTCTGTCGCGGCGGGCGCAGGATGCTACGCGCGCGCGCGCCTCCTCTCACGCCGCCACGGCGATCGCGACTCGTCCAGCTGGTGGCACGTCGGGCTCCACCTGTGCGGTAACGCGGGCAACGTGCTGCTGTACGACGCGGTCGGGCGCAACCTCGTCGGGTGGCGGCGGCGGTAGGCGCGAGACCGAGAGCAGTCAATTATGCCGAATTTATGTTTGTGGTATGTGTGCACAAGCGAGAGCGAGTGAGTGAAAAAATACCCACACGGCGCACACGCGACAGGATATGACAGAGGTCCGCCCTCTGCGGTGTCCCGTCCCCGTGTGTCCCCCTCGTAATCGCTCTCCGAGGTCGTACGACGGGGTGTGGCGGAGGGGTGTCTGAGTTGACCAGGGGGTTGTGCGCCGGGCCCTCCTGCTCGGCTCCAGCCCCTGTTGATAGGTCCAGGTGATAGTCCTGGATGGGCAATGCATACGCCTCACTGGGCCTTAGATCGCCCGACCGCGTCCCGGTGCTCTGCCGTCGGATTTGTGACTCCGCCGCACCGCGCCGCGGCCGGGGGCCCTCCGGAGGCCGAGGATGGCCGTGACGGACCGGGACGAGCTCTGGGAGGTTCGGTGTCAGTGTATATATTGTAGAGACCAACCATGTCCACAATATCTTGACTGAAAGCTAAGCCTGGGAAGGCGATGCCGGGGCCGTACAGCAGCTTGATGCATGCCACACCGAAGGCGCTGTCGAGGTTCGCCGAGCGCGGCGAAATCGGGGGACGCCGTCACCGACGAGCGCGTTGGAGTATTCACTCCGGACAAAGACGGCCGAACGCACACGAGCTGCGGTCGTGCGGCCGTCTTAGCGGCGAGGCGCGGGACCGTCTGTGGCGAAGTGGGTCGCGTCCCCCGATTTCGTTCAACCCAGCATCCACACCCTTTAAATAAAAACGGACACCTCTACTGTGAGATGGGTAAAAAGGAACAGGTCCCCGCCCTTGCGATCTTTGTGCAGGGTTCTTTGTGGGTGTGGTCGGCGACTAGCCGGGGTCGTCCTCCCGATGCGCGATATGTGGGGGACTAGCACTAGAAATGGACTAGCCGTCTTCCACATCGTCTCTCGTGTCCCTGCTGCTCCTAATCTCTTCGTACATCCTCCTGCTGATCTCCGCAAAGTCCTGCTCCCTCCCTCGTCTCGCCCTGCGCGTCTGCTCCGCCTCCCCGTCGTCGTCTGCCCTCCGAGGTAGAGTCGCGGCCCGCGTACTCCGTATCTCTAACACTGTGACTGTGATCTCTACTGCTGACCCACATCTCGCTCCACTCGCTCTTTCGCGTCTCGGCGTCCCTCTTGCGGCGACAAAACTCTATAGAAAAGTAATATATCTTTACTTCCAACACCCGGACGTTCCCAGGGTGATGGAAGGTTCGACGCACCCCCGGACTGGGCAGAGAGATCCCAGGGCATCTGGCCTGGGCTGTCCACCCCGCCCCCACTTGCCCTGACTGCACAGGATAGCGTGCCCCGACAAACGGCGACACATAGCGGGGGACACTGCGCCGGGGGGTATGCCTAACTTTGGTGCTTTGTGTGGGTCGCGTTCCCATGGTAGTTGTGTGGTTGAAGCCCTCGTGCCGCTGGCTTGCCCCTTCCAGCGGCTGGCCCCTTGAGACTGTCGGTGCTTGGCGGGAGGAGGGGGAGAGGGAGGCCCGGTGGGAGGAGAGGGAGAGGGAGGCCCGGTGGGAGGGGAGGGAGCGCCACGGCGACCCGCGTCAGCACCGGCTCTTCTCCTCCCCCCTCCCTGGGCTCTTCTCCTCTCCCCACCCTGGGCTCTTCTCCCCTCCTCCCTGGTACTCTCGGCCTGATTACCGGAGCGACTGCCGGAGCAGACGCTGGGGGGACACTCGCGCCCGGAGGCGGTACGCACGACCCGGAGGCGTGGGGATGGGGGGGGGCCGCGCCGCCGCCGCCGTGCCGCCTTCTCGCGCTTTGACCTCCCCCAGCCGCTTCTCCTCAAATCAACCTGTGAGCTTGCGAGGCGGCGGGGGTGGGAGTGCTCTCGGGCGGCGTGTGCGAGCGCGCGCGACACGAGATCTCTTTCGCGAGGGCACGGTGGGTCGGGTGAGTATCTCGCGCGCTCGCTCTATTTCACGTTATATCATGCACTGCCTTTGATGCCTTTGCAAGAACCGCCAGCGGCGGTGGTCGAACCGGTTCGCGGTTCGAGTCGGGACCTTTTGGCTCCAGGTTCGATTCCCGCGAGGAAGGTCGCTTCGCCAGCGCTTCGCTCTCGCGGAGCGAGCGCGGGCGCGTGGGTGCGTGTGCGCGTGCGCTGCTGCAAGGCGAGGCGAGGCGAGGCGAGGCGCGGGGCGGCGCGGCGCGGCGAGGCGGGCGGCGGCGGCGCGCGGTCGTTCCTTTTGCCCGGGTGAGGCGTGGCTTGCGCGCCGCGCGGTGATGACGCAGCACGCTGAAAAGTCCTTGGTGAGCCACCGCGGTGGCAGCGAGCCAAAGCAAGCCACCTGCCGCATGACGGGTTGACCGACGGCGTCTCTCTCGACAAAACTCTATAGAAGAACAGAACACACTACTCGAGTATATCGGAACTAAATGCTACACGGCTAGAGCGGTGCAGCCGGGCACACGTCCGGACACCGGAGACGCGCGAGGGCCGAGGCGATGGTTCTTGCCGTCTCCGGGCCCCGGGCGCAGCTCCGGCGCGGACCGCGCTCCTCTTCGACCTCGCCTTGCTGGAGTGTCTCGCCGGCGAGAGGCGGTCCCGCGCGGGAGAACGTCGCGCGACTCGAAGGCGAGAGGAAACGCCCGTTCGGTCTCCTGCCGCGGTCCACTAGTGGGGTCAGGTCTCCGAGGAATACGCCTAGTCAGCCTCTTCACGGCGCCGCGGGTCGCGTCTCGGAGGTCTCGCCGCTAAACGGGTTGTAGTAGAACTTCTGGCCGTTGCCGTAGTCTCCGTCGAGCCAGTTCTTCGGCAGCGGCGAGGGCGGGTCGGTCACCTCTGGCGAGAGCGGCAGCCCGTAGGCCTGGGGGACATAACCGGGGCGAGCGAGTTGGTGGGAGGCGCAAAGGGCGCCATGGCAGTCCGCTCGCCTCCTCCAGCGCAGCCACGCTCCCCCAATGGTTCTTTTGCCGCGCCAGGTCCAGCGGAGTCTTGCCGAACTCGTTCTTCGAGCTGACGACGGCTGAGCGGAGGAGCAGCCGCAGCATCTCGGCGTGGCCGTTGCGCGCGGCGACGTGGATGGCGGTGTCGCCTTCGTTGCTCTCCAGCGTGAGGTCGGCGCCACTCTCGAGGAGCAGCTCCGCCTAAAGCAGCCCCCGGCCGTGAGCGGTATATGCATTGTGAGCGACTAGCGCGATGGGGAGGCGAGGGAGGTGGTGAGGGCGCCTGCCAGATGCGGTTCTTCCAGGCAGCATAGTAGATCGCCGCCCAGCGGCACTGCGAGTCCTGCTGATTGACGTCTTGCCCTCTAGCCAGCAGCTGCTTCATGCGCTCCTCCTCACCGCGCTCGACCGCAACAAACCATCCAGATGTCGACCGTATGTTCCCGCGAATCACCTTCTGCTTCGTCTCGGGACTCGGGTCGAGCTTCCAGCCAGGCATGCTGCTTAGAGGCGACGACGCTCGCTTGTTGGCTGTCTGAGCGAGGTGCCGAGGCAGCCCGGACAGCCCGGAGGACGACCGGACCAAGAGCGCTGATGCGGGTTGGGATGCTGGTTGGCGCGAGAGGGGTCAGGCTGCCCGTCGAGACCTCGAGAGCTCTCCGACACCTCACAGCTCCCAAACGACATCGATCTCGGACCTGCCGCTTTGCAGGCGCCCTCAGGGTGCACCGACGCCCGCCTCCTCCTCTCCTCAGGTCCGAGATCGATGTCAGTTGGGAGCTGTGCCGCGCGCTCCTGTCGCCTCCGCGAGCGCCTCCTCGACCCGCCGCGGGGCCCGGGCAACGGCCTCGAGCCGCGCTGGCGATGCTCGGCCGGCCTTCTGGCACCCTATCGCACGCACTCCCGCCAGCCGCGCGCTCCCGCGCCGTCGTGCGAGCTTCTGGCGTCATCCGTGCGAGATGCGGCGTCGCGTAGCGGCGGCCACACGCGGATCAGCTCGGTCACCTCGAGCGCGCTCGCTGCCTGCGCGCCAGGCAGCGCTCCTCTCTCGTCGTCGCGGCGACGAGTCGGGACGGCGCCGTCGCTCGAGGCGCGTGGCCGGCGGCGCTCCTCTAGGCGGCGCTCCCTCGAGGCGCCGGGCCGACGTGACTGGGGCAGCTTGCGGCGCACGACGGTGCCCAGTGGCCGCCCCCGCCGTCCCCGGCTCGGCCTGTGGATCAGGGCAGCGGTCTCTCAGCTGTGCCGTCTCTGAACAGACACACTTGAGGACACGCGCGCGCGACGCTCACAGCTGCGTGTGCCGAGACAGCGGTGGTCAGTCTAAAATGTGTCTTGGTCAGTCTGACGTGCCAAAATATTTGAGGAAACACATTTTGCTGTCCTCACGCACTCACGGCCCGCGCATTGCGGCTCCGGCCTCCGAGCCGAGACCTTTGTTGGCAAAGTTTGATCGCACGCGCTCGTTCCCTGAGGTGGCGTTGCTCAGCGCGGTCTGCTCGGTCAGCCTCTCGAAGGCACGCACGCCCTCGGCGGAGGGGAGGATGTTGGACGTGTCGTACCACGTTTCAGCCACGGCGGTGCCTCCCGCGCCGTCGCTGGACGCCGCAGAGTACTTCGAGCTGTGGAGCAGGGTGGCGCCGGGAGGCTGTGCTGTGCTGGGAGAGGTGGGGGCGGGGGGGGTTGGGTGGATGGGCGCGCCTTGTCCTCTTCTTGCGGCGGACAGTCAGCCATGCGGTCTTCGGATCGTGGCGGAGAAGCTCGGTGATGTCCGCGCGACGGAGCGCCGCCAAGCACTGCACCAGCTCGGGCTTCACGCCGCCACACAGCATGCAGAGCACGGAGAAGCCATTCTCCAGGCAGTTTGTGTGCCAAAGCTTGGCACTCGGCTCCCACCCGGGGTGCCGGCGGCGAACCTCTGCTCGCGCGTCCGCCTCCTGCAGATACCGGAGGAGGTTCCCCGCTCCCATTCCCTGCACCTGTTGGGCGCGCACCCCCGAAAGCCGACCCTCCCGCGCGCGCACGGCTCCGCCGCCAAAGGGCATGAGCAGCTGCTCGCCCCACACGTTCAAAACCGTAGCCGAGCGGAGGACCTCCGTGAAGAGGAGACGGCATTCCGGCGTAAGCCCGCGCATGTTCCGCGCACGGTAGCCTGCGTGGAGTACGCACAGGGAAAAAGTCGATCAGTCGCCACACACGCGCGGCCACATCCACGCGGCACATCCACCAGTCAGGAGGGCGGACTGCTTTAACTAGGAGGATACGGGGAGATACGGGGAGATGTGGGGAGATATGGCATATGCGCTGGGATGTGGGCGCCCACCTATAGACAAGGGCTGGCAAAGAGCTAGGGAAATCTCGGTACCCATGATTATACTGCCTCACGTCTCACGGTCAACAGCTTGCCTGGGCAAGCCGTTTACGTGAGAGCGGGGGGTGCCCCGAACGCACCCCTCTCCTCCGGGATCATGGCGGGGCCGCCTTTGGGGGCGAACCGGCCCAGCGACGCCGCTTCTCTCCCGAAGGTGGGTAAAGGCACAGCTGTGTGCGCAGTGCAGGTCCGTGACCGACCGGGCAGGGCGCGTGGAGAAGCATATGGGGAGATATGGGGAGATATGGGGAGATATGGGGGGAGGAGACAGGGGGTGGTTACCTAGCCCGAGCGCCTCGAGCACCACACCCTCCTTGGTGCCGTCAAGCGCGCGTTGCAGCTCGGGGGACACGAGCGGCCAAGCCATGGAGGGGGTGCTCTGCATGTCGGTAGTCCGGAGGAAAGGCGCAATCAGCGCGAACTTTTTCGGGTCCTGCTCGGCGAGCGCTCGCCCTGCCTCGAGAATGACAGGCGTAGAGATGAGGGCGTCGGCAGCAACCTTCTTGCTCTACGAGCAGCGGGGTGGGACAGTGGTTCACGGGCGAGTTGAACGAGGGCCAGGCCCAAGCAGATTGCGGGCAGATTGCGGGCAGATCGCGGGCAGAGGGGGGCGGGGGCGGCTCGCCTCGGATCGGGCTTGGACAAAATTCTTGTCCGTGTGCTCTGCGCAAAAGGCCTGCACGATGGCGTCGCCGTTGGGCGCGTAGAAGCGTGACCGAAACTCGAGGTGCTGACATCTCAGCCCCTGGAAGACGGAGAGCAACAGCTCGTCGTACAGGTCGTCGACATCGAGCTCACCCCGATCCACCGCTCCGCCCGCCCTTTCGAGACGCAGCACGCGGTGCACTACGGCAACCGACATTGGTGGCGCCGGCGCCGTGACGGCCGCCACAGTGGGCGTGGGGACTGCGGCTGGGGTGGCGGCGGCAGCAGCGGTGGCGGGGTTGCGGGTGGAGGCCTCGGTGGCGTGGGAGGGGAGCTGTGTGGCAGAGGTAGAGGCGGCGGTGGTGGCGGCGCGGGCGGCCGCGAGAGCGGCGGCGGCGGCGGCCTCGAGTGGCCGAACACGGGCGGCGAGAGCGGCGTCGGCTGCGGAGGATGAGGCGGCGGCGGCGGCGGCGGCGGCGGCGTCAGCGGCAGAAGCGACTGCCTGCGACGGGCTGCATGGCCGCCACTTGCAAAACGCGATTGGCCTGACGGCACTCGGCTGGGCTCGCTGTGGTCGATCGGCGGTGGCGGCGGCAGCTGCGGCGTCCACGGGCTCTGCCCCGTGCTCTGCCAGCAGCCCATCCGCAGTCTCTGCCGGCGGTACACAACCGACGGTGTCTGCCGCCACCGCAACGGCGAGCGCCGGTCGGAGCAAAAACAACGGGAGACGGTCCACGGCCAGGAAAGCTGCAGCGGCGGCGACGGCTGTGGCTGAAGGTGGAATACGAGAAGAGGTCGGAGCAGCGGCGGCGACGGCGGCGACGGTGGCGACGGTGGCAACGGTGACGGCGCCGACGGCGCCGACGGCAGCGGGAGTGGCCCGCGCCCGGGCCAGCGCCTCATACGCCAACTTTGACCGATCGCTAAATGACTCCGGCAACACGTCGCCGCCGAGCAGTGTCGTGTACTCAGTGTCAAACTCCGTATCTGACTCTGGCACCGGCAGCATCCGCTTCGTCACCTGCAAAGGCAACGCGAGCGCCAGTCGCGACGTGGCACGCGTCGGCCGCAGTTGCTCCATGCGGTCAAACTGATCTCGCAGCCATATGGGGAGCCGTCCGAGGATGGCGCCACCTCGCACCACCGAAGCGGCGCCGTGGTCCTCGATCTTATCTCCGAACCACTCGAGGGTCGCCTAGGAAGAAATGGTCAGCTAAGAGGCGCCTGGCCTGGCTAGGGGCATGTCGGGAAGCGATGACGTGTGGCGCTCAAGACACCTGCAACCCCACCCCGTCGTCGGGGGAGGTTGGGAGACGCGAAGAGCCGTCGTGCCGTGCGGTGGGCGGCGTCGGTGGCTCGCGTGCCTCCGGAGAGGGAGGCACGCTGCCGTCCCCCTCAAGCGGCACTGCTGAGGGCACTTTGCGAGGGCAAAGGGTGTATCCGAGCCGCTGCAGCCTGGCCGGCAACGGGTTCGGGACCGTCTCCGCCAAAATAGCCGTGATGAGAGCTGGGACGTCCCTCCGATGCTGCGCACGAAGCGCCTTGACCCGCTCCGCCGCGGCGACGGCCAGGTCTAGCAGCGATGAGGGGCCTGCGCCAGGGTAAGGATTGGCTTTGAGGTTGCACGCCTCTCCATCCGACTGGAGAAGCTGGACCCGCGCAACAATCGGGCCGCCGCTCGAAGTGCGCGCCGCGCTGTCGCGGCAGCGCTCGTCAAAGGCCGCGTGCAGCGCATTCAAGACGTACGTGTTTATTTGCAGCTGCCGCTGCGCGCTAGTCGCGCCGCTCAGCGCGAAGCGCGCGACGGTGACGGGCCGGCGCGCGGCCCAATCCATTACCTTGTACACCAGAAGCTTCGTCGCGCACTTCCGCATCGTGGCGACCACGTCCCTGACCGACGCCACCGCCCGCAGCTTTAGAGCATCGACATTGGTCATCGCCGAAACCAGCATGGCGCAGGACTCCTCGTTGAGCGGACCATCATTAGGACCGAGCACCGCCGCGAGCAGCGCCGCTGCAGAGTCGCGCCGTTGGCACGCGGCGCTGTGCAGCGCGTTGTACTTCTCGATCGCCACGATCTGGCGCTGTTGCAACCCCTCCGACAACTCGCGCAGCTGGTCGCGCAAGGACGAGCCGCTTGAGACCACGCCGACGTCGTCGTCGATTGCAGCCTCGCCGGGCGTGACGGCGACGGCCTCCGGGGAACCGCCAGCGCCATCAGTGGCGTCGCGGTCGTCGGCGCCGGGAGTGGCGCGCTCGAGCGCAGCAAGAGCGTCAAAGAGCAGCGTTCCTAGTGCCTTGGCCGGCTTTCCGCTGACGCCCCGAAGCTTCCGCCCATCTGCGCCGCACTCACGCTCGAGCAGCGACCTTGGCAGCTTGCCCAGCTGCTCCTCGGTCATCGCATGAAACGGCACCAAGTGGGAGAGTGCCACTTCCAAATTCATCTCCTCGAGAGTGGCCTCCTCGCCTGCGGCGACGCCTGGATAGGCGACGCTGACTGTGATTGCGCCCTGCGCCCCCGCCGCCACCTTTGATATCACGCCAACGTAATGCTCCTCCTCCTCCTCCTCCTCCTCCTCCTGCCCCGGCAGCCGCGGCGGCGCCTCATCGTCTCCATCCGAATACTCGCTCGCATACACTTTGACGAGCCGCCCACCGCCCTTGCCGACGAGCGCCTTCTTCGCCGAGTCCAGGTCGTACTGCGCTGGGTCCAGCGGCACAGTCGCGTCGCCCAGCCCAAGCGAGGCGGCGTGGGCGGCGAGCTCAGCGGCCGCCTGCACGCTTTTCGTCGGTTTTGCGACGGTGCGCCTGGATGCGGAGAGGCGGGGGGCCTTGCGGAATCGAGCGAGCGCTTTGAGAGCGTTTGCCTCGCATGCCGCCGCGCGCTCGGCAAGCATCGGAGCCTGCTCCTGCAGGAAGAGAAGCGCGGCGACGAGGCCGCCGCTCCCTGGCTGCTCGAGGCCCTGTTGAAGGGCAACATAGCGCTGCTCAAGGACCTTCGGGCTCGGCGCGCCCGGGTCGAAGAGGGAGTGGTCGGCGTCGTTGACAAAAGTGAACTTGCGCGTCTCGCGAAGCGCGTTTGTCATGTCGGTCGCATCGTTCCCGAGCCAGACCGGCACGACGCCGTCGAGGAGGTGCGGCCCATCCGCTTGCAGCTGCGCGATGTAGCCGTTAATGAAGTCGATCGCGTTGTTTCGCAGGAAGCCCAGAGGCGGGTCCGCGCTGCCGCCGCTCGGCGCCGCTAGCATCCTCTCGCGCCAAGCGACGAGCGTCGTGTGGGAAGGCTGAGGCGTGCCACGCCATCCCGGCTTCTCGTTCAGGCCGTTCCGGATGTCGAGCGCTGCGGAAGCGCTGCGAGGCACGGAAGCGCAGGGTTGTGAATAATTGGGGCTGGGGTGGACGGAGAGGGCGAGGTGAAAGACTCGACCTGCGTGAGGAGTGTTGCGATACAAGGTGGCGCTGCGACGCCTCCGACCAGCGAAAACGCGAGGCGTGCGGCTGCAGCAAGTTGGCGGAGGCGTCGCTCAGCTCATGCGCCGCGGGGCAGTCTGGATGAAAGCGGTCCGAAGTCAGCCACAGGGCGAAATTGCCGCACATGTCACTGCGGGCGGAGTGCGCGCGAGGAGTGAGCAAGTGGGGGGGGAAAGATCGACACTTGGGCTCTGGCGCGCACTGGTGACCGGCGTCCTTGCAGATGGCGGCAGCCTGCAAGAACGTCTTGTACGAGACCGCGCCCCTGCTCGCCTTCTCCAGGTCGGATAAGCGCGCCCGCGCCGGCGCGCCCGCGGCGACCTCCTGCCTCAGGGCGGCGATGGTCTTCTCCGCTGTCGCCAGCCGCGCCTCCGCAGCCCTCAACTCATCATCCACCTGTCGGCGAGCCGCCATCTCATTCCGGCAGCGCTGCGCCATCTCCGAGTCGCTCCCGCCCTCCACAGAGAGCCATCGGATGCTGGTACGTGAGCGGGCTGCCACACGCGCGTCCGGTGTCTCCGCCGCCTCCTCCTGGCTGCTGGCGGCGGGAGCAGGAGCAGGAGCGGGAGCGGGAGGCGGCAGCGGATGAGGCGGCGGCGGCTCCTCCTCCATCCGATCGAGTGCGTCGGTCCGCTGCGCCTTGCCGGGCGGCGGCAAGCCTAAACTAGTGCCCGGCCTCGACACCGTCGCCCAGCCGCCGACAGCGGGGCGCTTGCTGTCGGGACGCGCAGTCTCGACAGCGGAGCGCGTGCTTCTTGCCGGCGGAGCAGCACGCTCCTCAGCAGCGCGCGCAGAAGCTCTCTTGCGTACCGCCGCCGCGCAGTCCTTATGGATGCGCGTCGACGCCGGAGACGCCGGCCCGAGCGCTTCTCCTCGCTCTAGAGCCACGGCGGGCAGCCCGTTGGCCGCCTCACCGCCCTTGCGAGACCAGTTCGTGGTCCCGCACCACCAACAGCCGTCCATCTGAACGGCGACGGAGGCCAAGCCCGACGTCTGCGCTCTAGCCGATCACCTGGCCGCCCGCGACGAGCTCGCCAGTCGGCGTGGCGGCGAGGAAGGGAGCGAGAGCACCGCCAGTGCGGCTGGCACCTGTGGCCTGGCCTGCGAATGCTCATTCACAGCGATGCCCGAGGGGAATTCGCGTGGAAATTCGATCCGCCGACTCAGGGAGGGGTCCTCTATCGGGGAAGGAGGTTGCGGGAAAAATCTGAGAAATCACCCCCAGCCTTCCCCCTCCCGTTGGCGCTTGTCTCGAGGTGTCGAGGTAGTAGTCATTGGAAGTCTGGTGGCACGTTCACACAAAAACAAAAAACGCACAAGCTCAGACAGTCGAGAAGGGAGAGACAGCAACGACAGTCAGAAGCCAGCGCTGGGTACCAGGAAGGCGAATGCGATGCCGGCCTCTAGTGTGAGCTCTAGCTAGTTGAGCTCATACGCACGTTCACGCTACGCCCAGTAAGCTAAACACACACACACACATTCACGCTCAATCGCCAGCGACCCCGACTAACAAGTATCGCGATCGTTTCGCCCACGCCCGCCGCCTGCATTCCGTCCGGCTTCGCCTTGCTGCTGCCATGCCGAAGAAGGCCGCCAAGGGCAAGAAGGGAGGCAAGAAGGACGCGATGTCGACCGACGAGGCGGACCTCTACCCGTTCGGCGTCAAGGTGGACGACATCATCCAGGCAGAAGACCTCAAGAGCGCCGGCCGCTCCCGCTCCTCCCGCCCGCCCGCTCACGCCCCGCACCTCGTGGCTCCAGACACCGCTCGGGCCTCAAGCAACGGTGGTTGGAGTCGCAAAGGGGATCCTCTGGCTGCAGTGGCCGGGGAACGTCCAGGCGCCGCTCCCCTCAAAGGTGCGCTCGCTGCCACCACGCGAGCCCGTACCTCCCGCAAAATCCGCCACCTGGGTGGTAGTCGCTGCGGCCCTGACCGCTTTTGGCCCCGGGTAGGCCAAGTGTCGTGAGGACATGGAGACGTACGGCTACGTGAGGAGATCAGAGGCGGCGCACATCGAACGGTCCATTGAGACCCGGCAGGGGCTGCTGTTTGAGCAGCGATTTTACTGCGGCCCGGGACCCAAAACGGCGGCGATGCGCCTGCCCTGGCCGCAGGGGACCACCGAGCTGCCGCTGCTGGAGGCTGCATCGGCGGCGGGCGACGCCGGGGCCGGGGCAGGCGCCAAGAAGCCGGCGAAGAAGAAGAAATGAGACAGGCGTCATTATTTTCTTTTGTTTAAATTCTTTTGTTTCAGTGCAAGCCGCGCATAAATGCATTCCACACAGTGTCGTGACGAGAATAATGGCAAGGTTGCCGGCCCTGGAACGACGCCCTCATGTGGGGGACCCACGCTAAAGATTCTCGGGGCATGACACGCTAAGTTCTAAGAGAGTTACTCTAACCCCACGGTCTCTTGTTTTCACTCAAACTCTTTTGTCTTTTCACTTTTGCGATCAATCGTGGCAGTGTCGGAGGAGCAACGTGGAAAAGAAATCCTTCTCGCCCCCACGTTCCCTCTAGCATCGTTCGGGGGATGGGAGGGCGTGCAGCCGAAAGAGGGAGATGACGATACACAAGAGACCAGGGCACAGATTCACGAGCGAATAGGACGGGGAATATGGGGAGGCGCCCTGCCGGGATCGTGGGAGATTGTCGACGCCGAGGGCGAGGAGGACGAGCGGCCCGCACAGACCGCGAGCAGACAGCGCCTGCTGGCCATTTCGAGACATTCGCCAAGAACGCTAGCTACATGGGAGGGCTTCGTGAAGGATGGATTGAAAAACATTCGAACAAAGAAGAGGCGACGGGAGGAACCGGCGGAGGATGCAGTGACGTGAGACACACACACACACACACACACACACACACACACACACACACACACACACACACACACACACACACACACACACACACACACACACACACACACACACACACACACACACACACACACACACCGCTCACCCACGCGCACTGGGCCTTGCACTTTGAATGCCGTGGGGCTCCTGTCGTCAGACGTGGAGACGCGAGGGTTGCCCCCCCTTGCCCCACCACCTCGTGTGTGTGGAGAAGTTTACCTTACCTTACCTTACCTTAGTTCGTCGTAGTAGCCCTATCATAAACCTCTTATATTCACACCTTGCACTTTGAAAAGAGAAATATCCGACCTTTGTCGAAGATCCGGTTCCGGAGGGTTTATCAGAGCATCACCCCTAGACACGATGTGATATGACCTGACACGTAATCGAGCGCTGAGGAGGTTAACGCGTTGAAGTACTAATCGGGGAGCACAACTTGGGACGCACACACGCTCACACGGTCGAGAGGCGGCGCAGCGCGCAGGCGGCGGTGGCTCACGTTTCGCGAGCCGCCTCGGCGGACGCCTCTACCTTGAGCGGCAACGCGCCCTTGAGCCGCGCGCGCACCTCCTCCATCTGCTTGCGCCGCGCGATGGCCGCCTCGCCCGCCGCCTTGAGCGCGGCCACCTAGGTACGGCCGTCGAAGGCAGAGACTAACACACGCTAGTGAGGGCAGCGAGGGGGTCAGAGTGAGCCAGGCAAGGCGCCTTTTCCGGCGAGGCGGTGCGCTGCATCTTCTCCTCCGTAGGATCCTCGCCGAAGAACCACGCGTCGCAGGAGGGGTCGTCCTCGCCCTGGTCGTCCACCCCCTCGCCAAAGCACTCGCGCTCGCCGCTCCGCTCCGCCTCCTCCTCGAGGTACGTCGACGCGGCAGCGCGGCGCGGCGCGCCAACCTCGCACTCCTCGCCGCCCCCCTCCCGGCCCGACACCATCTCGACGAATCGCTGGTAGTCGAGCAGCTTGGCGTCGTTGGCGAACGCGTTGAAGGCCTGCGCGAGCCGCAGCGGACGGTGGTCGACCTCGCAGCCCTCCGCCTCTGGCATTGCGGCACAGAAGCGCTCAATCGTCGACAGCAGCTGCGCCTGCGCGACGGTCCCGTCGCCGTCCGCGTCGAGCGCCTCAAAGACGGGCATCAGCGCCCTGTCGCCCTGCGCAAAGTCCTGCACCGCCTTGTCAACCATCAGCGAGACGAAGGTCGCCTGATCGACCCCCACCGGCCCGTCGAGCCCGGGCACGCCTCGCAGCCGCTCGAGGAGGGGCGCATCCCCTGCCGCCGCGTCGCCGTCGCCCGCCCGCACGGCTGCGACCACCCTCTCGAGGTCGGCCAGGCGCAGCCGCCCGTCCGCGTCCGCGTCAAGCTGCGCGAAGATGGCCTCGAGCCCTGCGAGCCGGAGCTCATCGCCCTGCACCAGCCCGCGCAGCCGCGCGCTCTCCTTCTTCGGCGAGACGCCCTGCCCAAAGGCTGTGGCGTCCGCCTCCTTTGGCTCGTGCGCCATCGCGGCGAGCGCCTCGAGCGCCTCCACGAGCGCCTTGTACTGCACGACCGGCCGCACCGCCTCCGCTGTCAGCGACTGCAGCAGCCTGAGCTGGCGAGAGCCGCCGAGGAAGCGGCCGAGCCGCTCGCGCACCTTTGGCACCGCGTCCTTGCCCGTCAGCACGGCGCGAGAGACGCGCCCGATCCGCGGCAGGTAAAAGTGCACAGTAGGGAAGGAGAAGACGCGCTGCTCGTAGCAGAGCGCCGGCTCCGCCTTGAAGTTGCACTGCAGGAAGGTTGCCCGCCCGGCGTACTCGCGCTCGAGCCGCTCGAGCCTCGGCCGCACCGCCTTGCAATTACGGCACCACGGCGCGTAGAAGAAGACCACAGTGAGTTGGCCGCAGCCCTCGACGTCCTCACACCAGTTGTGCTTGTCCGTCTCGACGAGCATCGACGGCGGCGGTGTCGCGCGAGGAGCAATAGCCACCGTGTGGCTCGTGCGTCCGACCTGGTGCGCGTGGAAGGCGAAAGCGGTCGGCACTGCGAGGCTGAACAACAGCGCCATAACGTGGCCCAATGGCGTGCGGCGGCGTATGCGGCGGCAGCAGCGTGATGTGCCGACGCTGAGCTGGCGAGGCTCACGTGCTAAAGCCGAGCTCGGTCAGCGACGAGCGCCGCTGACAGAGCGTAAATCGATAGGGGGCCGCGCGGCGAGGCCGTTTTTCATCAGCTTGTAAAAAGCTAAAATTGCGTGCTCCAAGATCTGGTGCCGCCGCGCCGCCTTACCACCGACCCTTACCGTGCCGCGCCGCCTTTCTACCTCCGTTTCGGCCTGCCTGGCTGCGGCGGCCGTCACTCCCTTACAAAACCGTCGCTTTCCGTCACTTGGAAGCCGGGAAGTTTCCGAGTGACGGGTAAAAGTGACAGCCAAGTGACAGGAACGTGGCAAAACGGCGGCGACGAGGCGCGCCCAGGGCCAACCGCGGTCGATGGCCTCGCCGTCTCGCGCTTTTCCTTACGCAATGGCCATCCTTAGGTGATTGGCAGCAGTAGCCGTCGCCTAGTGCGCGCCTCGAGACGGCG